CATTAATATTGGATATTGTTTTTAATTATGCACAAAGCTACACAAGGGCTATCTGTGCTCTGCCCACCACGGGTATCGAAACCCGGATTCTAGCGTTGTAAGTCCGCAGACATACCGCTGTGCCACTGGGGGGGCGCACGCATTAATAAATGACCTTCAGGGGGGGGATGGTATTCCAAAAGTTACTAGTGATAGCCTGTGAACCCCTCCCCCCCAAAAAAACAACAAACAAACTATTCCTCTTCTGGATACTTTGGAGGATAATAAATATAATAATTAATCTCATACATCTTATATATTTGTGCATTTTTGTTGAAAGATGCAACCTAGTAAAGAGTGATGGACAATCTTTTCTAAGATGGTATCCTAACTTTAGAATTTTAAGATAATTAAATCTAAATATGTCAATACCAGCATCACAGGGATGGGCCAAAAACCAGTGTCAAAATAAATTTATGTGTGCTTAATTACTTTCATAGTTCTTCGTCTCACACTCCATCAGCCAAACTGCCTCAAACTGGTATTTAGATACATAATGACTACTTCTTAGGCTTATTAGAAACCAATTATCATTTAAGGACAATGTTATATTATAAACTGCAATGTTCTTGCTTACTATCATCACCACTAAAACACTTTTTTTCATACTGGCTACTCTGCAGCTATCCAAACTACTTTGCATATATATACCATATATATAAGTGTTATAAACCAAAGTCACCAGCCAGGATACGCCAGTGTCACACGTACATACACATAGAAAAAGTATGTCGATTACATACATTAAAAAACATTATTAGATGGTATTGAGATGTGTTATAAAATAACTTTTCAAACTTCCAAAGCCATTCAGACAGGAAATGAGTTTTTATCAAATATAGAGGCTTAAAAAATGCAATTGAATCAACTAGTTGTTATTTAAAGTGTGCCGTACAACGTTAAAAACTGATATGTTATGAAAGTGGTATTATTAGCTTATTTCTTGAAATTGTGAAACCAGTGCTAACAGAAATGCTTTTCCTCACATAGTAAAATACAATAAATGTTATAAAAACCAAAATTTATTAACAAAAAAGAGAAAAGTAGAGCACAAAAAAATACAGTCTGTAAAAGTTTGTATTTATATAATTTGTTTATCCTTTTACAATCATTCTAAAATTATCAATAAATAGAAAAAAAACTGAAGTTAAAAAAAATAAAATAAAACATTATCAAAATATTATCATTTGAAATAAATTATCTTACTAAAACTAGGGAAAACATCTTATTTTTGAATTTGAATAATAATTTCAAGCTCTTCTGACAGCTGCATCAAATTCTTCCACCTCTGAGTCGGTGCCTTCTTCACCTTCTAAGTCACTTTCTTCAAGTGCTACTCGATCAAAACCCTGATGTGGATTAAGTAGACTGCCTATGTTGAATTTGTCTTTTGAATGAGGTGTTTTGTAGCCTCCACACCAATGCTTCAAGTGGTTATAGGAAAAATTCTTCAATTTACCTGTGGAGTGTATATTTTTATATGGCCATGAAAAAGAGGGTGTTTAATAGCATCTGCATGAACAGATTTACTAATGATTCACTGAAACAATATTATAAAAATTCCATATTACAAGAAAGAGTGACTGACTATTAAGAATGCAAGCAAAGCTAGAACAAGTCTTACTTTTGTTAACATTATGTAAAACAAAACTCATACCCACACACACACATATATATACAGAGTGTACCTGAAAAATGTATACACATTTCGGATGTTTATAATACACATAAAAATAAAGACAGAGTGTTGGTATTATTTTCATTTTATTTTAAGAAATTACATGAGTGACGTTTAATACTGTTACACCCCACTAGATGGCACTACCCACAGTAAAACAAAATGTGAGAAACTTCCTCAATGCTCGTTTCCATGGAAAGATGAGTAGGACAGAGGGGAAGTGTAGAGTATCCACTCCGATCTCTTGACTTAACACCACCAGACTTTTACTAGTGGGGTACTCTAAAGAACACTGTGTATGCCAGGAAACCCAGAACACTGCAGGATCTGAAGCACGAAATTGAATTTGCTTGTGCTGCTATTTCAGCAACAACATTGCAAGAAGTATGCTGCTCTGTTGTGCGTCATTGTCAACGATGCATTGATGCTAATGGTGGACACTTTGAACATTTGTGACTTTAAGATAAGCAACACAACAATGGATTTACAACTTCACATCTGTGTGCTTTTCTAATAAAGAAATAAGTGACTAAAGTGTGTATAAATTTTTTAGGGACACTCTGTATATATATGTATATGACCCTATGATGCATTGATGCTAATGGTGGACACTTTGAACATTTGTGACTTTAAGATAAGCAACACAACAATGGATTTACAACTTCACATCTGTGTGCTTTTCTATATATATGTATATGACCCTGAATACACAATAAAAATTATGAACCACAGCTTTCTATATGAAAAGTAACTGCTGCCCTCTTTCAACACTATTTCTTTAATGTAAGCCAAAATTAACATTAAGCATCTTCTATTGTCTTTAGATTAAAATTTCTATTCTAAACTGAACTTTTCCACTGTTGAAAAAAATTATTTGATCTTCAGTATTACCTTAATAAAAAAAAACAATCATAAATTCTTGTCTTTTACAAGTACCAGAACACTCACATGAATTGTTTCACTTCTAAAATTATGTAGATTAATTCTTTTGGTTTCTCAGGATGTATTAGTGCCACAATGTCAAGTTAAAATAGGAATATCTTACACACTTTAAACTCTTTAAAATTATTATACTCAATCTGTTTCTTGAGTCATAAGATAACGAGGAAAACTTCCATTAAGTTTACAGAATGAGTTATACCAAATATGGATTATTTTCAATCTGTTTCTTGAGACACAAGATAACAAGTAAAATTTCTGTTAAGTTTACAGAATGAGTTATACTTAATTAGTTTCTTAAGCCAGAACTTCCATAAATTTTACAGAAAAGATTATATTTAACCTATCTCTGGAGTCATAACAGTTAGAGCATCCATAAAAGTCAATAAATATAATTAAACTGGACCAGTTCTTTGAATTATACAGTTAAAAGGGTGATATTCAACCTGCTTTTGTGACATACAACAAAAATTTGTTTTTAGTGAAAAAAATGAAAAGAATACCTCGTTTTCTAAGCTTTACAATAATAGTAATAGTCAGAAGAATAAGGACAGGAACAGCCAAAACTGCAATAACCATTAAAGAAACAGTGAGAGGTTTAAATCTAGCTGCATCATCATCCCATGATGGACTGGTTGTTGGCTGAGCTTCTGGTAGAGCCTTCTGAACTGACTTATGTTTACCTGTAACAAGTGTTTTGTTTTTAATGAGTCTGATATTTTTCTGTTGCTATTTCTAAAATCTAGGTAATTCTCTTTTAAAATTACTTGGTGATCAACAGCATACAAGTCCAGAACTTACAATCTTATGATCATATTAACAAACTCCCATCTCCTAATCAGAGGGATTCAGTTCTTTGTACAATTAACATTTGGTAATAAGTAATGATAACATTAGTGTTTAAAAGAGTGTAATAATTTTGTAACATAAAGGCAAAATAATGAATCAGTTTTAATTGTTTGTTCTTTAGCACAAAGCTACACAATGGGCTATCCGTACTGTGTTCACCACAGGCATCAAAATCTGATTTTTTTAGTATCATAAGCTCTCAGACTTATCGCTGAGCCACCAGAAGCAATGACTAAAGTATACAAATAAGTACCTGTGACTATGTCATACTTTGTTTGTTTCTTTCTTTGTTTTTTGTGCAAAGCTACACGAGGGCTATCTGCACTAGCCGTCCCTAATTTAACAGTGGAAGACTAGAGGGAAGGCAGCTAGTCATCACCACCCACCGCCAACTCTTGGGCTACTCTTTTACCAACGAATAGTGGGATTGACCGTCACATTATAATGCCCCCACGGCTGAAAAGGCGAGCATGTTTGGTGTGACGGGGATTCGAACCCGCGACCCGCAGATTGTGAGTCGAGCTCCCTAACCACCTGGCCATGCCGGGCAACTAAGTCATGCAAATTTCAGTTTAAGACAACATGACAGTGAAACAGTATTTACAAGAATCTACAAATTTCAATTATAATAAAAAAAATATTCTTTTCTAGCCCACAAAAAGAAAATCTAATACCTGATTTTTTATCCAGGCTTTCAGGAATATGGCCTAGGCATTTCATAAAGAAGACAAACTACCTGCTGGAAGTATTTAAGGAAAACGTTGGCATACTTCTAATCAGTGACTACTTCATTATTAAAACTATTCAACTTAATATTTTTGGAAGGGGGGATTTCTGCATTTTGTTTAATGGATGAAAATCCAAATATCTGAATATCTTATAACTGTGCATGACATGATAAAAAAACTTACTTTTCATTTAGGTGCTGTTTGGCACTGAGAACTAATTTCAGTCCCTGGAAAACCTGGATAAAATGACAAATTTATTTTTAAATGGCAAATTTTACCTCTGCTAAACATCCACACATTGTTTGGGCCTATCTCACCTACATATACACTCTGTGAATCAGGTGTCACAGCAATGTCATGAGGTTGTGAAAATGTCTGCAAAATACATAAAAAAGCATAATGTTAAACAATACAGATAAAACAAAAATTCAAGAACAGCTTGTTTTTCTATTAATGGGATTGTATAAAATACACAACCCCATCTAGGTAATGGTACGAGTGCAAGAATACATATGATAACTCTGAGAATTCTTAACGTATCTTCATGAAAATTGGTAATATTCTGTTAAAGATTACAAGTATTTTGAATACGAAGAATGAGTTTATTTTAATTAAGTATTTCTACTAAAACTTCGTTAGACAAATATGTACAGTGTAGGTGTAGCATTATTCAAGTTACAGAAATCTAAAGTTAAGAATGTGAGTGCTCATGTGTGTCAAGTGACAATATAACTGAAGTTTAAATATTTTTTAAGTTTTTTTTAAATAAAGGAATTAAAACTTATATAATATTAAATTTCAAATTATAACGTACATTATAATGCTAATTTCATTGACATACACTGATAGCAGAGTTGTTTAATTAAATTTTGAATGTTACTCAATGACATACATAGAAAGTAGTTTAAGAGGGTACACATTGCAAAAGGGTTAACCGCAATAATTCTTAAAAATGACATATAACACACTGCACAGTTATTCCCTTCCTTCGTAATGTTGCAGTTTAAAAATAATTTTTAAACATTAAAGACCAAATATAAGTTAAAATTATAAGATATTGCAAAAGTAAACTTACCAATTCTTTTAATGCAATTCGTTTGGAAACAGTTCTTATACAACTGGCATACGATACAATTAGAAAAATGCTATACACTTATGTTTAAAAAGTAAACATTGGACAGTTTTTAAATAATAAAATCAAGCTATGGAAAAAAACAAAACAAAACATAACACCAGTAAGCACAGACCACGAGAATAAAACACAGTACTTAGAGTATCTAAACACTCATACACATAAGATATTTGGATAAATCATTTGATCCATGACAGCAATGAATACAACATGGAACAAAATATGCTTACTCCTTCTGGTGGTGCAAAGGTACTAAGCAACTTTAAACTTGTAAAGTTGAAGACAAATGAAAGTACTCTGTGATGGCCATAGAAAGCTGGGCCACACACTGCATACAGTAAACCACCTGAAAGGAAAAAACGGTAACAAAGACATCAAAACCCAGAACTCTACAATTTCAAGCACCTTGGAGTTCATTATAATAGCATACCATAAAGAAAAGGTCGCAATTTGTTTGTTTTTCAACTACTGAGTTCAGAATATTTTCAGACTAGTCTAAGTTTGTACAAATGTTCTTTTATTACCAATAAAATTTGTAGCTCCCCAAATTTTTGAAATGAGATGAAAATATGTCTTCATCTGACTAAAGTTCAACCTTCAATTTTTTTTCAACCTGGACTTTTCAAATTATTTACAATTATTTCTCACTTTGAAAGGAGTGGGGTGGGGGAATCTTTTACTATTCTTTAATGATAAACAAGAAAACATATGTATAATTTTACTAACAAACATTATTCCAGTCAAATATCTCAACTCAGTTATATTTGTTTTCTTACACATTTTTACAGTTTTTTCAAAAACTCAAGTCTCAAGTGATATATTTTCAATCATGTCCTTACAATATGTAAAACTTGAATGAGTCCATTGGAATTTCTAAGTAAATCAATCTAAGAACTATATGAACAACTTATAAGTCTTACCACTGGAGTAACACTAACTAATTATAGTTGTCTTACCTTCTTCATTGGAGTAATACGTACTACTTGTAAAAGTCTTACCTTTTTCACTGGAGTAACACTAACTAATTATAGTTGTCTTACTTTCTTCATTGGAGTAATATGTACTACTTGTAAAAGTCTTACCTTTTTCACTGGAGTAACACTAACTAATTATAGTTGTCTTACTTTCTTCATTGGAGTAATATGTACTACTTGTAAAAGTCTTACCTTTTTCACTGGAGTAACACTAACTAATTATAGTTGTTTTACTTTCTTCATTGGAGTAATATGTACTACTTGTAAAAGTCTTACCTTTTTCACTGGATTAACACTAACTAATTAAGTTGTCTTACCTTTTTCATTAGAGTAACACTAACTAATTATAGTTGTCTTACTTTCTTCATTGGAGTAATATGTACTACTTGTAAAAGTCTTACCTTTTTCACTGGAGTAACACTAACTAATTATAGTTGTCTTACCTTTTTCATTGGAGTAATATGAACTACTTATAAGTGTCTTACCTTTTCACTGGAGTAACACTAACTAATTATAGTTGTCTTACTTTCTTCATTGGAGTAATATGTACTACTTGTAAAAGTTTTACCTTTTTCACTGGAGTAACACTAACTAATTATAGTTGTCTTACCTTTTTCATTGGAGTAATATGAACTACTTATAAGTGTCTTACCTTCATTTGAGTAATATGAACTATTTATAAGTGTCTTACCTTCATTTGAGTAACATGAACTATTTATAAGTGTCTTACCTTCATTTGAGTAACATGAACTACTTATAAGTGTCTTACCTTCTTCATTTGAGTAATATGAATTACTTATAGAAGTTTTACTTTATTAAGAGTGAAAAAAATGTCATTTTTTTGGCACAGTGAAAAATAAAATCTTTATCAAAAATTTTTCAGCTGACTAGTTTTGATAACACAGTTACCACCACCAATTATACAAAAAATGTACTTTCTTTTTTACTCTTAATATAGTAGACTCAATAGT